GTCTTAATCTTGCATCAATTATAGACATCCTATTTAATCTCCATTTCCTATTGTTTGGAATCATAATTATTAATAAAAGGTAGAAGCTCAAAGAAGATGTTGTATTAAGAAGATGGAAGCTTAATCATAGGCCTATACAAAAACAAACACATGCCAATTAAGAGTTTTTCCTTATACAAAAGCAAACATATGTCAATTAAAAAGTGGGAAAATTGGAAAATATTGCTAACAACTTTGAATATTGATGAAGATGAAGTGGCAAAATTTAAACTAACATTAGCATGACTTTTCCACTTGAACTGGAAGAGGAGAGGATAACTATTGACTCTTGTTTCATATTCATTTTGGCCAGAGCACATTTTGATACTTTGACTTGAAATCTAGAAACTTGAATCTCCTTAAATTTGGAATTTTGAAAATCCTATTATTACACACTGAAAAAAAGAACTCTGACCATGCATCAGTATCTTTGTGAATTATAGTTTGTAATGAAATAAAACAAAGACAAAGATCAAAATATTAACATAAAAAAGCTTTTAGAAACAAGGCTTTAAGAGAACGAAAGTGGTGGATGATCTTGAAAATTTAAAAGAAGCCTCTTATCTTTTATAGTTTGGAGTTCTTTATCTCTCTCTTTATGCTACTTGTACAAATTTATAGTGAAACATAAATTAAAATTAAAAAAAAATAAAAAGAATATCAATAACATATAAAATGAATATAAATACTACAATAAGTTATAATGTTATTTTCATATGTTATGATGTCTAATGCATGCATGCACATAGATCTAAGGAAGGGTTCTCAACATATGAAGTCTGATTGTTAGTGATGATGTCAGTAATAGTACTTTGCTATGGTGTGTAGATCTAAAATATCCAATCTAACTATCAGCATGTGTGAGTATCATTATATTGTCAAATCTTTAATGTTATGTGATATCAGTAATGATAATTTTCACTGATGTAGATTTGATTCTCAGTACAAGTCAAGTTTTATCCATAAGTGTGA